GACACCCTCTAAGTCAGTCCATGTTGCTACAAATGGTGCTATTTTCTTCTTCTTTTTTTTTTTTTACAGCAGAGTAGTATTCTATTAAATAAATATACCACAACCTCTTTATCTAGTCACTGTTGATGGACATTTAGGCTGTTTCCATGTCTTGGCTATTGTGAATAGTGTTGCTAGGAACATTGGGATCCATGTATCTTTTCAAATTAGAGTTCCCTGCAGATGTATACTCAGAAGTGGGTTGCAGGATATGGTGAGTCTATTTTTAGTTTTTTTGAGGAATCTCCATTCTGTTTTCCATAATGGCTGCACCAAACAGCATTTCCACCAGCAGTGTAAAAAGGTTCCCTTTTCTCCACACCCTCTCAAGCATTTATTATTCATGGACTTGAATGACAGCCATTCTGACTGGTGTGACATGATACCTCATTGCTGATCATCGTTCTAAGGGAGGTAAGCCAGAAAGAGAAAGAAAAAATAGCATATGATATCACTCATATGTAGAATCTGAAAAAAAAAAGAAAGAAAAAGAAGACATTATGAACTCATCTACAAAACAGAAACAGACTCACAGACATAGTGAAGAATCTTACAGTTACTGGGGAAAGGGGGTGGGAAGGGATGAATTTGGGAGTTTGAGATTTGCAAATGTTAGCCACTATATATAAAAACAGATTTAAAAAAGAAGAAAGAACTAACCTCTGTGAAAAATTAAGAATGTATACAGGTTTCTTTAAGATTATAGTGCTTACTACTTATTTCTGTGGGTTCATCACCAGTTGTGGGTTCTGGTCAGCAGAAGTCCCACTGAGATGGAATGAGTTACTCAAGACTCTGGGGAAAAGTCAACACAAGGAGAGGGAGTTGGGAGACAACTCCATGAGCCTCTCAAATCTCTCATATTTATTGAGTACAGTCGAAGCGGGAATTTAGGGAAGGGCAGGGTGGGATCACAATGAGTACAAAGGCTTTGTTTGTTGTTGGCATTTGGCTCAAGGTCAGAAGACCCTTTTTGGTGAATCATAATCGTGTTGAGCCTTTCAGCTCATCAGGGCGGAACGTATGGGAATCAGCTGCTTGACAAGATTTTTCTTGGACTCAGGTGGCTGTGTCTGTCTTAGGTGGCCCCCTCAGGGGGTCTTACCGTCATTGGCTAACCAGCCTTCTCTCCTCTAAGCCTGCAGCTTTTTGCCATTCCAGCCCAAGGCTGTTTTGGGGATAGAAGACTAAGAGCAGGCACGCCCAGCGTTTATAGCCGGGGGCCTGGGTCATTGCTAAAGCCTCAAGGCAGGTACTAAACACATCTTTAAGGAAGTAAGCGGCTGGAATCTGTTACAATTTGTTAACCCAGTCATGGGCTCCCACATATTTCCAAGTGAACATTGGTCTGGCGAGGTGCATCTATTCAAGACACCTCATACCTCAGGTTAATAGGGGTGAATATGACTAAGTTTTATGAGACACACAAAACATGCCAGGACATTGCAATGTTTAGTAAACATTTCAGCTATAATTTAACATTGTAATCCCATTTCAACGTTTATAATTTTGAATAATAAATTTTAAGCTATAACACTAGGAACTTAATATAAATGTGCAACAACTCTGAATAAATCAACTGAGATGTAGACAGAATATATAATTTCTAATTAAATATAACCCTGGAAGGTCTGTAATAAAATCCAGGTTTTTCTGATGTCAAAGTTCATAAATTTCAACCATATACACCATGTTTCTCCTTCTTTCTTCTTGCCTTGTTCATACTCTTGTCCTTCTTGTTCACTTTCTAAATTTTAAATTTATAAGAGTAGAATTGTCTGAATTCTCTTGTCAAGGGCTGGCTCATTTCATCTTTTTTGAATTCTATAAAGCATACTGACATTTCCCCTTCTGGAGCTTATTTTGCACGTGCATTATTTCAGGAGTGCTCATTCTGACTCCCTCTTTATGGAGAGGGCTTTGCCTTGAATCCCTTGTACTAACAGACATGCTATTAAATGAGACATATGTACAGTCTAGGTAATAATCAGACAAATGAAGAAATGTAATTCCTCACTTCTTTATATGAGCAGTCTTTTGAGCAATGGCATTTCACAGGAGCACTGGAAAGAAACAGACAACATCACAAAGACGATCTGAAGGCAGTGATTCAACACTCAACTGGGAGTCCAGGTGTGGTCCAGCTCTTGGTTTTGGCTAAAGTATGTCTAGGAATGAAAATGGTAAAGTTGGAAGATGGTAAATGGCATTTTTCAACCTGACTGTCAGAGGAAGAGCAGCCAGGCTCTGAGAACAGTGCTGTCTCAATTCTGGACACAGAAGCTGGCACTAGTTTGCCTGGGCCCCGTGGTTCTAGGAAGTTTTCTTTGGATGAATTCAACTTCATGAATGTAATTAAATGAACTTAAATGACTAGTGTGTACACAGTACCACATTCAAAATTTGATGGAAAGAGAATCAATTAGCTCTCCCTAAGCATCCACATAGGAGTTAAAATCAACATGAAATTTAAAAAAAATTAGCTAAGGAGCTAATTGAATGAAAACTGATTTGCAGCCTATACACACACATAGCAGTTATCCAGGGCAACAGGTGAAGGAGGTCTTGGGGCATGAAGTGAGGCTGAAAGAGGAGTGGCAATGGATTTGTTTAACAGATGGCACAGGCATAGGAAGCAAGAAGTCAGGAGCTTATAGTAATAAAAAGATAATCATGATGAATTATTAGTGTTCTCCAAGCATTCTCATGCCTGTTACTTCCTTCAATCCCCATGGAAATGTTGTGAGGCAGGGCATACAATTCTTGGAGGAGCTGAGAGGATACTGGTCAGTAGCCTGAGTGATGAACTTAATCCCATAGACACCAAGAGTCATTGGGCAGGTTACACAGATTCTGCGAACCATATCCACTGCATTAGAAAACGCTAAATACAATGCTAGTTCATATCTCATATGGATTCTGTGGGAATTAAAAAAGAAAACCATGAAGATCTTAGCACAGAAACCTCAAATAATAACTCCTTGACACATACTGACTTTAACTGCTGCTGCATTATTTTATTTTCACAGGACTTGAAGACTCTGCAGTCAGTAAGTGGCCTGACTGCAGTGGAGAGCTAAGTCTGTTCACCCTCGAACCCATGGCCTTTCCCACCGTACAGAACAGACTGAGGTGTGTTCTGGCAGTAAGAGGTGGGCTTGACTGCACTGGGAGGGAATCATAGAGAAATATGAGGTTGACTACTCTGGGGAGGGGGTGGGTCTTGAATTCAGACTGGGAAGTTGAGATGTGGACCAGCAGTCAATATAGTTCTGTGATGAGGTCACAGATTTTAATACAGAAGAGGTATTATTATCTATTTTGATCTAGACTATTTTGCTTTTAAATATTTTAAGTCATGAGAAGGTGCAAAGGGAATCTTAATTTGAAGTGTAAACATTTAAAGCAGGTAAGAGCCAAGCTGCTGTGTTTCAAAGGGACAGAGTCCCTAAAACAGCTCCTTCAAACTCCTCATTCTTGAAAACTCCACCACAATGGCCTGACCCTCCAGATGAGGAAACTGGGTTCCAGAGTGGTGAGCGATGTAACAACACATTCTAGGAGTTAGAAGGACAACCTGGAATGAAACCCCACCATCCTCATTTCCCAGAACGTGTCCCTTCTACTTCATTGGGGCTATTAAAGAATGTTTTAATTTCTTGGCCTAAAGCCATATTGTAGATTTGTGAAGAGCATCCTGGGAGCCATGTGGTTTGTTTAGTAAGAGGGACGATTCTAAGAATGGGCCTCTGTGTATTTAGAAGAGTCTTAGAGAATGAGTTGCTTATGTCCCTGTTAAAAGCAATGGTCTCTACTGTATTTTTACCAAGTTACAGACAGCCTCTGCTTAACGTACCCCAAGCAAAGAGAAGTTTGCCAATGAAGCAGTTCTTTTACCACATCATTTGACTCTATTAACAATTGTATTTAGCCAGTTGAGGCCACTGCTCACTTCTTCAGTGGTAAAGTGTAACAGTGAAGGACTTGTGTTTCAAAATGGAATTATCTGTACTCATAATTCCTGCTCAATATTATCATAAAAGAAAAAATGTTGCTTGTTATTGGTATTGATTTTGATTCAGGAAAATCTGGATTTGCAATATTTACTAGCTGTGGTGACTTACAGTCATTTTTTTTTTGCCTCTTTATGTCCTAATATCTTACCTCTAAGTGAAGAAAATAGAATACTCCATTGCCTGAAACATTGTAGTGATTCATTGAATAGTCACAGAATGTAAAAATAATCCACCTGGAGAAGAAGAAATGTAAATGGAAAAAGTACAGATTCTTAACAAGTGGAAAGTCTTTGGGATATGACCCTTCTGTCTTGTAGGCTCTTCAACTAGCACATTCTAGGTGCTCAATAAGTATATGGAATAAGTGAATGAGAATTTGAACGAGATGTTTTAAGTTCATGTACTTGGGTGTGACTAGTGGTAGATTAAGGTCAGCTTCCCAGCTTGAGCTTCCTCAGAGTTAGTGGGTGAGTGAAGGGCTTGTGTGTAGGTAGTTTGTTGGGAAACAGAATGGAGGCAGTAGATGGGGTGAGTGAAACAGGGAAGGACAGAGAGTGAATCCAAGATTGTGTTAAGCTGGTTACCATTTATGCACTGGCTCCTGTCTACTAATGATCGAGGGTTTCCTGAAAGTATGTTAATTCTTCATAGAGCCAGGTGTATGTAAGTGATGAAGAAGGGTCTTCTAAGTGTCTCAAGCAGCAACTGTCTGGAAGGAAAGCAAGAGGTACACTGGAAAGTGATGTTGGGGGGATTAGCAGGATTAAGCTGTTCTCAGAATATAATTGTTAGCAGCTGGTTGCTGTATCCATGGCTGGAGAAAAGGTAGGTCAAGACGGTGTAAGATAGACTGCAAAATAATGTCCAACACACTCAATAATTAAAAATATTTTTTTTTGTAGATTTTCCAGCTCAGGGAGATAAGCTTATATCAGACCATAGTGAATGGAGAATCTCAACAATGTGACTGAATTCATTCTTTTGGGCATTACAAAGAATCCAGAGCTGAGGAAAATACTCTCTGCTGTATTTCTAATCATGTATGTGTCCACCGTCTTGGGAAACCTCCTCATTGTGGTAACCATGGTCACAGATCAGAGTTTGAGATCACCTATGTATTTTTTTCTTACCTCCTTTTCCCTCATGGATACAACCTTCTCTTCTGTCATTGCCCCCAAGTTGATTGTGGACTCCCTCTCTGAGAGCACTACCATCTCCTTCAAAGGCTGCATGGCCCAGCTCTTTGCAGATCATTTGTTTGGTGGAGTGGGGATTATCCTTCTCTTTGTCATGGCCTATGACCGCTACGTGGCCATCTGTAAGCCCCTGCACTACATGACCATCATGAGGCCTCGGGTGTGCTGTCTGTTGCTGGGAGGGGCCTGGCTGGGGGGACTTTTCCATGCAGTTATACAGCTTCTATTTATATATCAAATACCCTTCTGTGGCCCCAATGTCATTGATCACTTTATGTGTGATTTGTTTCCATTGTTGAAACTGGCCTGCATGGACACCCACATCCTGGGCCTCTTGGTCATCCTCAACAGTGGGGTGATGTGTCTGGCCATCTTCCTTATCCTCATCACCTCCTACATGGTCATCCTCTGCTCCCTGAACTCCTGCAGCTCTGAAGGATGGCATAAAGCTCTCTCCACCTGTGGCTCCCACCTCACAGTGGTCATTTTGTTCTTTGTGCCATGCATTTTCTTGTTTGTGAGGCCTGTTGTCACGTACCCCATAGACAAGGCAATGACTGTGTCCTCTACTATCATCACACCCATGTTAAATCCCTTGATCTACACCTTGAGGAACACAGAGGTGAAAAACGCCATGAGGAAACTGTGGATGAAACAAGAGATGTTGTGTGGTCATTAGCTTGCATGCTAAGAAGAAATCTTGCCAAAAGGTTAATGAGGTCTTACACTCTCCATTCATTCTAATCCACCTGGAACACAGTAACCAATTACGCAAATCTGGTTTAAATGCAAATCTGCTTAATATTCCAATCATATTACTGACTACCTCTGAAGTATATTTTATATTTTATCCTTTTTCTTGAGGCTCTGATAGCTCTCATTCTCTCTCTCCTTTCTGTCTCTCTTTCTCCCTCCATATTTAACCTATATTTTGAATAATTCAAACAATTCCCAGTTTAGGGCTTTTGCTTTTCTTACTCTGTTCACTGCTGGAATTCTCTTTCCCAGAGATTTTGCTTCACAAATTCCATCTCATTTTCTTCTACTTTCAGATGAACTCCCACCTCCTTAGACAAGTCTTTCCTGATGACTTTCTGTAGTCATTCCCTCTCAGTTTTTCTCTAACTCTTCATCTGCTTATACCTCTAACATCAATGATTACAAGCTAACTTTAAAAATTATTCCTTGGTTTTTATTTTCTCTATTTTCCCCATAAGATCATAATCCTTATAAGGGCAGGGATTTTGTTTATTCATTTATGTTGTGAGTAGAACACTGGCAGTCACCTATTAGGTGCTTAATAAGTACTATTGAGTTAATATAAGTCTAAAAGAAACTTTTAAAAAATATTTGCAAATTCACAAGTTGGGTGAAAAATAGGGGACAATAAATAAATATATACTCTTTATGAGTTAGTGTTTTCCCAGATTTCATGCTGCCAAATGTCCTTTGGGGAGGCTTTTGGAAGAAATGACAATTTCAAGTTAGTAGGTTACTATTCATTGTGGAAGACAACACTATCCAAATTTTCAACTTCCTCTTTTCTTCCTTTAGAGAAGTAGAGAAAAAATCACTCGTGTCAACGTAGTTACGAATCTGGTGTCTAAATCTTGAAACATATAGATGAGCTACCTTGATGAGAAAAGAGCAACTCTAGAGACCCCTATTTTTTAACAATGTGAGAAACAATTCCTGCTATTATGAAGTTGAATTTCTAAATCCAAACGATGCTTATTTTCTTCTATATTGTGCTTTTTCTGTCATTAGACAGACATTGATGCTCTTTAAAACTGCCTCCCTTGACTGGGTATATGGGAAGACTAGGGTTTTAGTCTAATTTAGTATGCTGTTCTGGTTTTCTTATTTTTTTAAATATATGATGTAAATGATAATAATTACAGTATCAGTTATAGTATTTCAAACAGTATAGCATGATATTTGAAAGAATATTTTTATCTGTAAATATAAGATGTGTATGTGTAATAAGTATTTCACATTAATTATCATCAACTCTTTTCAAGAACCAAGGTATTCATTCATTTTTTTGAAGAATATCTGCTGAGTTTGTATGAAAAGTATCAAATAATCTTATAGGATTGGGGTATACTAGTGATGAATAAGGCAATAAATTTTCATTTTGCCCTGGAGTTGACTTTCTAGTGCAGGAGACAACATATAAAATGACAATAAGTTCAAAGAATATGTAAAAATGAAAACAAGGCCATAGGATAACTGATTCTCTGAAAAGTGTAATGGAGTGGTCATGGGTGACTGGATAACTCTAGCTAGGTGGACAAAGGGGGCTTTTCTGAGAGGTTATTTCTAAACTGAGACCTGAAAGGTGAGATAGAACCATCCTTAAGCACATCAGTTGGAAAAGCATTCAAGGCAATAGAGAAAAAGTTGTGCAGAGACCCTCGGGTAGAAGTTCAGGGAGGCCAGTGACAGTGGACAAGAGAGAGTGTGGTTCAACTTGAGATGTGAAAGGTGCGCTGGGCGCTGATCAAGGAATCAATTATTTTTTTAACACTCAGGTTCAAGAAGTACTTGGGCATCAGAGTAACTCTTAGAATAAAAATGAAGAATCTAATCCTTCATGAGCTTACAGATGACAAAATTGCTATCAAATATATTTGCACAAAGCTTTTAAAAAAAAACTGTTGCTATGTCAGTAGCAGAATATAATGTTTACTGTCTGCTGCAATATCTTAAAATTGAATTCCTGAATATGATACAAGAAAACAGATGTGAGGTGTGAGAAGTACTGTGTCCCAGGCTTCAGCTGAGTCCCTGGGACATGCCCCGCCAAGTGTTGGTCCTTGGCTTTGTGCAGGAAGAAATTCAAGAGCAAGCCACAGTTGAGTAAAGGTAGATTTATTCAGAGAGATACATTGAAAGGCAAGAGAAAGGCCACAAGGTGTGGGGGTTGGGCACTCAGATTAAAAGTAGGTACATACTCCATAGACAGAATGTTGGCCATCTTGGAAGGGAGGAGAGGGAGAGGCAGGTGCTGCAAGGCATGGTGTTGCCAGCTTTTATGGGCTTTGGTAGTTTCATATGCTAATAAGTGGAAGGACCAGTCTAGCTAGACTTGGGAAGGGGCTGGGACTCTCAGGAAGTTGGCCATTTCCCACTTTGGCCTTTTGTGGCTAGCCTTGGGACTGCCCTGGGCCTGTGGGCACTTAATTCACCATGTTAATATACTACAGTGGGCGTCTAATGAAGCTCAAGGTTTACTAGAAGTTAAATCTCCCATCATTTTGAGCCTCAAGGCCCGTTGATGGTTGAATCTTTCAACATTTTGCTATTAATTGCTATATCATTCCTTGAATGGCTTGCCCTGCCCCTTTCCTGTCTCAGCCTGACTACAACTCTTCACTCAGTTCATGTCAAAGATGAAAAAGCCCATGACAGTGTAATAACTTTGATCTCTGTAAGAACCTTATGATAATCTTTTTTTTTTTCAATTTTAATTATAGAATTTGAGAACTGGGAGGATCATAACGAGATCCCTAACCTTAAGTATTTGTAATATTTAGGTAATTTTCCAGTATCAAAATTAGATATAGAATTCACCTCTTCTGTTACATAGATGAAAGCGGTTCTGGCCACTTATGCAGAATTTATTATCTGTCATATTCCACAAATTTTTTCTCTGATCTGTAGTATAGGTCTCCCTAATTACTACCTATGAAGTAGCTTTACTCATTAAACATATTACTTAGCAGCTCAAAGCCTGCCTTTATTTTTCTCTAACACTCTGATGTTTAAAATAAATCTTGATCTTACCTCTTTTTTATACGAACTTGTTGCTAATATTAGATTGTAATTCATATGATCTCTATATCAGAATTGAACTTACTCAATTAAATTACTGAATTAGTCAATACTATTCATGATACAAAGACATCACAATATAAGAATACATGTGCAATGTATAAAGGAATACATCTTTTAATTTGAGGGAGAGACTGGTCTAAAAATCAGTTGCAAACTTCAAACTTACTGGAAAACATTGGATGAACTTGCTTCCTATTTCACTCAGAACTAGCTAACAGAAGAGAGAACTTATATTTACCAATTTGGCAGCACCCATTCAGTTATATGCTACCTAGCTCTGTTACAAGAATATAAGATCCATGAGGAAAGAAACTTTTATATGACTTTTTCCATTTCATTTATTGTTTTGTCCTCACTCATGGCACAGTTTTTGTATTGACACAGGTACCCTAAATATAAAAAAAGTACAATTAGTAATTGGATAAATATTTAGTTATTGCACTTGAATTGGTGATAAATTTTTATATATTTGACCAAATGTCAAGGCAGAATAAATTGAGTACTAAATAAAAAAGAAAGAAAAGCTTGCTGTGGCAAGTGGGAATATACATGATAAATATACATTCACTGAAGCAAAATGGTTGGACTGATATTTATTCTTGTGTAGCAATAGTCAGAAAATGATTATCAAGCTGTTTTTTTTTTTTCCAGGTTACATCTTTTTTACCTTAATTCTGTGATGTGGTATAGTAGGATCTTTATAAAACAGATGTAATTTTAAAGTTTAGTAGAAAGTCCCAGTGAATTTAATTAAGCAAGAATCAATCTTGGACACATTCCAATCTAAGACTTAATGATGGATGTGACTAAGAGAGAGAAAATGTTCAGTGTTCTTTGCCTCTATTGGGAAGATAGATTATATGCTTTTAAGAACTGATATAAAATTTTTAGGAGGTCCTTTGTTAGGCTTAAAGTAATGCATTAAAAGGCAACAACAATAGCAACACAAGGAGGTCTCTCAAAATCTCCAGTCAAGTAGTCTGGCTGTACCAACATGAGAGAGGGAGAAGAGTTAAACAACTGAATGGTATTTTTCTATCTTGGAGCTAATAGGAAAAGAGGTAACTGAAGACAACTTTCTCTGGAAAATGGCACTTGCTATCTCCACATGTAAACATAGGATTTGCTTGTCTATTTGAATAATTATTCTAACGTGGTAAACTTTTGCCTTTGTGTGCACTGTGGAATTTTCTTTTAAACACTGTGGAATTTATAGTGCAAATAAAAACATTCTTATGAATAACCAGAGGAATCCATGGAGGAAATGAACAGACAGCTGAATGAAATCAGACTTATCCTCAAGTAATTTCACCTTTCACCCCTCCTTTGTCATATTGGATGAAAGAAGAATTCCAGGATTTATGAGTGATTTAAAAAGTCTTCCTTCAGACTATAAGCAAGCTTTCACTAGTAAGACTAACTGTAAATAGTGGGAACCAGGATTCACAGTTGGGTGACTTTCTTTGTTATGTAAGACATAAATCATTTTGCAATAAATCAAATGTAGGTATTAATTCTAGTTTTATCACTTAAAAATTTGTGCATTTGGAAAAATTAATGAGATAGTATGACCCTCATTATATCAACTGTAAAATGGTGATTACAGTACTTCTCATGTAAATACTAATTGTGATGCATTAAATTGTGAGGGCATGATTGAAATCCACTATGAGAGTTTTGAGCGGTTGATTGATATAATCAATTGATATAATCAGAACAAGATTTGAAGAGTATAATTTGAGCTAATTCAGGAGAACAAACTGTTGGAGGCCTGAATAAAAGTGGAGAGGCATGACAGGAGGCTACTGCAGTGGACCAAGAAGGAAATAAGTGGTAAGG